TTCCCGAAACCTTTGGCAAAATTGTTAAAACAATTTGTCATATATGTACTGTTATTCAAGGAGCGCCATATTCTTCTGCTTGCTAGAAATCTCATTTTTCTGAGTGTAGCTTTAATCTGTCATCCATGAGAAACAGATCAGGTATTGCAGCTAATTCTAGGAATTATCATCATGATCATCATTATTATAAAGCATTGCGTCAGTGTTGAAAACATGCCAAAAAAAAATAAATAAATAACTAAGGAAAATGACAAGCGAAAGTTAAAGCCAAAGTTATTTAAATGCTGGCCGTGTGGCCAAGGGACGGAGTGACAACACTAGGGCGTGGCTAACAACAGACAGAGAGACAGACAGGCGGACAGATGGACAGACAGACGGACAGGCGGACATATGTACATCTGAGTACGAGTGTAGTAGGTGTGTGTGTGAAAAAATGTGTTGTGGCAAACAGCCAGTGGCCAGTGGTTAGTGGTTAGTGGCTGCTGACTACAACTAGAACAACAACAACAACAACAAGAACAACAACAGCAACAAGAACAATGCGTAGGGTGTTTGCAGTGCACTTGAGATATGATCCAATTCAATTTACGCGCGTGTCGCATGCAATTTGAAAATGAAAAAAGCTGCAAAACAAAAAAAAAAGAACTGAAAAAACAACAGGCCAGGTAAGCAAAGCAAACAGCGCTGCCTCTCTCTTGTTGTTGCTGCTGTTGACTGCAATTGCAAATGCAATTACAAGCACACACACACACACATATACACGTTGGTTGTCGCCGCGTCACTTTTTACTCCGCCCACTTTTTCCCACACCCAAGTTTTTCTTCACTTTTTGTTTTGTTTTTTATTAATATTAGGTTTTGTTGTCTTTTTTTGTGAAGGCAAAATGTGAGAGGTTAGCGTTGTTGACAACAACAACAACAATAGCAACAACAACAACAACAGTAACAGCAGCTGAGTAATGCGCTAATTTCTCGTCACTTGGCCAGCAGATTGTGGCAAAGGGGCTGGTGGCAGGCACAATGTTGGCAGGACTTTCATATCGCAGCGCAGCACAAAAAACTAATCAATGGAAGTTAAAGCCCCCCCAAAAAAAACCTAAAACCTAAACAAACTAGCGCTAAGATGAATCTATTGCGTTCACACCTATGCATATAAACAGCAGCTACAACAACAACAGCAGCAGCAGCAGCAAAAACAGCACGAATACTGTCGCTGATGAAAAGCGCAGCCAATCGTGGGAAAATGTTTTTGCCAAATGACAGGCAACAATGACGACAACAACACCAACAACAACGCCGCCGTCTACGTGCAGCGCCAAATTGGCCACGTAGTTGTGCACAGTGGTGCCAAAACAGCTGACCAAAACCAAAACTAACAGAGTGCTCGAAAATACCAAAAAGATGCGGTTCAGTGTTGTCCTTCAGTAGTTGGTTGTTGCAACCAAAGGGACTCTCTTTTAGAGAGATGGACAAGTTCCGGAAGAGCTTCAGAAGGAATTCTTCAGCCTTCTGACAAAAGTTTTAAGTTGTTGATTTGAACTCTTTTTTTCAGCACTTGTTTACAGTGTTGTGCAATCATCAATTACTCGGAAATGATCCATTTGGCATAAACTGTTCAATCAGTTCTTTTAAACAATTTTGTTTTCATTTCGTGTCTAGTGCTGACGAAATGCGATTATTTCTGGAAAAAGAAACCCATAGGAACCCATACAGTGGAAACTCTCAAAACTTAAAATTCAAAAAGGACTTGCGAACAAGAAACGTCTGTAAATTGGAGATGCCCATTTCACATCTCATATTACATGATAGCTTGAGTTCTTTTGGTTATGGTTGAGTGTTGTCTTTCATTAGTTGGTTGTTGCAATCAAAGGGACTCTCTTTAAGAGAGCCTTCTAAAGAGTTCCTTTTGCCCTTGCTGCATTGCACTTTAAGAGAGTTTCCGTTCTCTGTTCAAATAAATAATTAGAACTGAGATAACAATTCTTCAGCCTTCTATAGAGTTCCTTCAGCTCTCTTCCCATGGTCTTTCTAAAAAGTTTCTTTTCTCCGTTCAGATGAATAATAGCTATTCAGGTAAGAATTCTTCAGCCTTCTAAAGACTTCCTTCAGCTCTCTTCCCATGGTCTTTCGAGAGATTTTCTTTTCTCCATTCAAATAAATAATAGCTATTCAGGTAAGAATTCTTCAGCCTTCTAAAGACTTCTTTTGCTCTCTTCTCATTATCTTTCTAGAGAGTTTATTTTCTCCATTCAAATAAATAATAGCTATTCAGGTAAGAATTCTTCAGCCTTCTAAAGAGTTCCTTTTGCCCTTGCTGCATTGCACTTTAAGAGAGTTTCCGTTCTCTGTTCAAATAAATCATTAGAACTGAGATAACAATTCTTCAGCCTTCTATAGAGTTCCTTCAGCTCTCTTCCCATGGTCTTTCTAAAAAGTTTCTTTTCTCCATTCAAATAAATAATAGCTATTCAGGTAAGAATTCTTCAGCCTTCTAAAGAGTTCCTTCTTTGCTCTTCCCATTGTCTTTCGAGAGAGTTTCTTTTCTCCATTCAAATAAATAATAGCTATTCAGGTAAGAATTCTTCAGCCTTCTAAAGAGTTCATTTTTTCTCTTCCCATTGTCTTTCGAGAGAGTTTCCTTTCTCTATTCAAATAAATTAATAGAACTGAGATAAGAATTCTTCAGTCTTCTAAAGACTTCCTTTTGCTCTCTTCCCATTGTCTTTCGAGAGAGTTTCCTTTCTCCATTCAAATAAATAATTATAATTCAAATAATAATTCTTCAGTCTTCTAAAGAGTTCCTTTTGCCCTCTCTGCATTGCATTCTGCGCTCACCTGCAGACTACGTGTATTACAAGCGTTCTCATTTAATTTCACGACTAAACAAATTACAAGAACAACAACAACGACAAGAACAAGAACAAGAGAGCATAAACCACTGTGCAGCGTTGCCAGCATCGTTGACAGTTGTGGGTGAGGTGAGCGCTGAAGCCGCTCTGTTGCTGTTTCTGTTCGCTCTTTGGACGCTCGTGAGAAGTGAGAGAGATGTGTGCAACGCGTATGCAAACAAGTTGGTTGTGCTGTTGTTGTTGTTGTTGCTGCTGTTTCTCTGTGTGGGCTGATGAAAAGCGCACCGCAAGGGCGTGCGAGCTGGCGGTGAGGTGGCGATCGCGGCACGTTTCGTTGCCAGCCGCGGAAATTCGTTGCGCTGCATTAAGCAGAGCCAGAGATGAGGGTGGTGAGGTGGTGAAGGGGCAGGCAACGGGGTCGGAGAGGGGGGAGCGGAGTGGAGGGAGGACAGGCAGAGGACTGCGCGTGGGCGGCTGCTGCAAAAAACCACAACAACAACAACAATATGGCATTAAACAAATGCAATTATTTTGCTAGGCCGGCGCATAGCTGCAGAAATCAGCTCGCCTATTTTTTTCTCTTTCTATTTTCTTTAATTCATTTTTTTTTTTTTTTTTTTTTTTTTTGCTATTTCAGGCAGCCTTATCTGCAACACACGCATACCGCCTGAGCTGTTGCCGCCCACACACACACACGCAGTTTTCCAGCTGCTTATCAGGCAATGTCGACGCTGGCGCTGGCGCTGGCGCTGGCGCGACCGTCGACGTTTCGTTGCGTTTATCGCTGCATATGCATTTCTAATTTCTTATATTTCTAGGGTATACTATACATACAAGTATACGTTTTTACGAATATATAATATGTATGTACATATGTGTATGTAGTTGTGGGTATATGGATGGCTCACGTAGACTCAGAAATGCACATAAGCCGTTTAGCTGAGAGCTGACTAAAGCGCGTCACACACTGCGTATACGCAATGTGAGGCCATTATGTGTATTTGTTATTGCTATTTGGATGCACATACAAGTATTATTAATACCACAGGAATTCAATTTGTTGCATTTATTTTAAAGAAATGCTATACTATATTTCTGAATTTTCCTTTGCCAAAGCATACAAATTCAAAAAAAAACACAATATTTTCAGAAAAGTTTCATTCATCACCAATTTCAATTGTAAGTGTAATATTATTTAAAAAAAAAAAAATCAAAAAAACATTTACAATCAAAATATAAGTAAATCAGCTGTAATTGCAAACATGAATCGCCAGTTTGAAGCTTTAATTCGCAAACAATCAAGTAAACCACTGAAACAAAAAACTTATGAATAGATTAAAAATAAATCTATCCAACTATTATGATACTAAACTATTAACGCGTGTTTTGCGTACTTTTGTCATTCTTGCTGCAAAAATACTGACTAACTCGACCCTTGGCAGCCCCAGAGATGTCACATGTTCCCACTTTCTAGTATAAACTGTTGCAATTTTTAAATAACATTTCTCAGCATATTTTAGTGATAATATTTAGGCGTGATGCGACGACCTGTTGCGTCTAATCAGTCGCCAGATTTAAACAGGTGCGAGGTCTATTTAAAAAAAAAAAAAAAAAAGAATACACATATATACTATAAAGCCGAAATTGAATCAGCTAAGCCTGAGACTAAGATCAAATTCATAATAGAGTTAATTTTACAATCTTTGTCCTTCTTCTCGGAGACTGTACGAGCTAGACAGAATATATTTTGTTCAAACACTTCTTAAATGTTGGTTTAGTTTATTTACATTATGTTTGACCATCTGAACGTCTTAATCTTAAATACTATTCGAGCTGGATGGACCACATTATCTTCGAGCACTTTTCAAACGATTGTGTAGGTGAATGAGTTTTTGTTTGAACGTCTGAGCGCCTTATTCTCGGAGACTGTACGAGCTAGACAGAACATATTTTGTTCGAACACTTCTCAAATGATTGTGTAGATGAATGCGTTTTTTGTTTGACCGTCTGAACGCCTCTCTCTTGAAAACTGTTCGAGCTAGACAGACCATATTTTACTCCAGCATTTCTCAATGGTGCATGTAACTTAGATTGTGGGTATTTTCACAATAACAGTTTGTGGGTTTCCTATTTGGTTTAGTTTCTGACTCACCCTGTTTGCTTATGCAGCAGGCAGCAGACGGCAAATAAAAATAAGAAACAAAATAGTTCAAGTACTTTCAGTTATGAATGCTGCAATTGTTGTCGTTGTTGCTATTGCTGCTGCTGTTGTTGTTGTTCTTGTTGTTTTTCACTTTGCTAATTTGTAATTATGTGAAAAACGTGGCTTTCATTTCTTGTGCGCTGCGAAACATAAACGATATACAAATGCAAATATAAATTTAAAAAGAAATTAATAAATTTTTATGCACATACTATATATATATGCAAATACACAGTACACACACATATGTGAGTGTGAGTGTGTGTGTGTGTGTGTGTGGGTGCAAGTAATTTTATTATGAATTTTTGTTTGCAAATATTTCACAACACCAACAAAAAGTAATAATAAACGCCGATATGGATGCCGACACCGAAGCCTTGGCCGAGGCGGAATGCGCTGCTGACGACGCGGTGCATGGATTTTCGCGTAATTTACAGACAAGTGCAACAATAACAACAACAAGAAGAACAACAACTATAAGAACAACTATATTATAGTTAAGGAATTTCGCCTTAAAAACACGTAGACGAGACGTCGGCGTCGGAGACATCGACATCGACACGTTGCACTTTTAAAAATATTTTAGAACACACGTTTAAACATTGCATAAAAATCCGAGGAAAAAAAAATTCAAAAAAAAAAAAGAATATTTAAATATATATTTTACACACAATGCACATTTTTAATAATTAAAGCGAACAATTTATTTAATTTGATTTTTTTGTTGGTTGGTTGGTTGGTTGGTTGGGCTTGCGTGAAAAATTTGCTGTGCGCGAGACGAGACGAGCGCGCGACAAGCGAAAATGAAACTGCAGCCTTGATCGTGAATAGCAGCCACAAGCCAAAATGGCAACAATAGCAACAACAACAACAACAGCAACAGCAACAGCAATAGTGGCAGCAGTGGCAGTGGCAGAGCAGCGACGCGACTGACAAAGCTGCGCGCGTTTTTGGCGCGTTTTCGAACGCGCAGGAAGCGGAAACAGCGTGCGCTCTACTAAACACTTTTAGAAATGCTTTTTAGTAATATTCCTAAAATAAGTAATGCATGCATGCAAGCTCATAGTATATGTTGGAGCAGTGTTGCTATTGCTATTGTTGTTGATGTTGTTGTTGTGTGCATTGGGTTTCTGTCGCGCCGAAAGAAACTCACTTTTCGCATGCAACGCAAAAACGCACACAAATAACTTTCAGCGGCCGTAGTGAAATGACAACTGAAACCGCAGCGAGCTCGAATGAAAAACGAGTAATGCGCGCAGCTGACGACGCAGGCAGAGGCTGACGCTGAAAAGCAGAAGCAGCGTCGGCAGCGAAGCTGGCGCTGTCGCTGGCAGCGGCGCCGGCGCAGCAGAGCCACAGCCAGCAAATGAATGTTCTAACGACAACAACAACAGCAACAACAACAACAGCAGCAGCATAGCAAGCAGCAGCGTCTTTTGGCTTGTTGTGCATTTTAGTTTGCGTTTTTATGGTGCATTTTGTATATTTTTTTAATTGAAATTTTTTGTTGTTTTTGTTTGTAGCGAGCGCGCGCGCATTTTACTTTTTTCCCCCCTCCCCTTCGCACCAGGCCATCAACCAACTATTTATTTGTTCAAGTTGTTGCACTTTTTATACCCTTAAAAGGGTATTAACGAAAGCTTTGAGAGACCCCCCACAAGGTTTATAAATATTTGTGAACAGCACTTGCACTTCTCTGTAAGGAACTTTATATTTTCTTCTCAATCTCATTTAAAGTCCTTTTATGCCTATTAGACCAAGAAGTTTTCCTTAATAGCACAATTCTAAGCGTAATCTCGCTTTATTTTTAAATTTGGGTAAACATTTCAAGTGGAAAATGATCAAAAAATGATCAAATTTCTGCAACAGAAAGTCGGTCCTGCAAAACATTCTTTCTCAATCCGTTAGACAACAACGAAGCGAAGCTCTCTTATTTGATTCAATTAGTCGCTCAATTTGTAATGATATATACTCGCATTTTATGTAAGTATATAATAATACAAACTTTACTTGTATTCTATATGTTTGTGTAAATCTTCCAAAACTTCGGGTTGTGGTAATGCTATTGAGATTCAAAAACGAAAATCGAAGCCAGCTGCCATCAATAGTTAACTTTTTGATGGAATGATGGATCAAGTATCGCATTTATGATGCAAATACTGACCTACCTGAGCGACAAGCACTGCATGTTATTCTTATTAACATATATGTATATACTTGTATTTATAAACGTGTATAGATGTCGGGCAACATTATTCCGTAAGCAGCAAATGAGTGCGAATTCCAAGCAATTTCTTATTAACACAAATGAACATCAATTTCTGAGGCGTTTCTACGAGTAAATGGGCTAAGAATTAAATCTGCATCATAATTACAATTTATTATAATTAATTAATTAGCCAGCGATATTATCGATAATGGCAGCGATATTTTGACAGCCCTAGCAGAGGGTATATGAGAGTCGGCCGCGCACGACTTGTTCTCTTTCCCTTTGTTTTTGTTGTTGTTTGCTTCAATCGAGGCGACAAATGCACTCGCACTCGCATTAGATTTAGATTTAGAGCGAGTGGCGGTGGCGGTGGCGCAGACCGCGGCAACGTACGAAGAGTAAAAGGGAAACGCACGAGCAACAAGCACGAATGCAAATGCGAATGCGAATACGAGTGCGAATGCGAATGCGTCTCAGCTGCCTGAGCGAGCGTGTGTGTGTGTGTGTGTGTGTGAGTGAGTGAGAGTGCGTGCACATGTGTGTGGGTGTGTGTGTGTGTGTGTGTAGGCTTGGGGGCGGGCTGCACTCTGACGGAAGTTCAGCAGCGAGTGGGTCTGCAAGCAGACGGACCGACAGACGAACCGACGGTCGAGTGGACAGACGAGCAGACGTCACGTCGCTTTGCAAAGTGCAAGGCTATACGCGTGCAAAAGAGAAGACCCACAATCCATAGAAATATGAATGTACAAACCTATACTATATACATACATATGTACATATGTATGTGTGTTTGTATGTTTGTATAAGGTGTGTGCAGTAAAAAATTATAATCGATTCTACGCAATCGAATCACAGCAATAGCAATAGCAACAACGACAGATTATATTATTTTTGGACGTAGTAGAAAGAATAAACACAATACATTTTAAACATTTTTGATTTCTAAAATGTTGATTTTTTTATTATTATTTTTATCGATTCTACGCAAGCAGTAGATTCCTACTGCAAATGATATTTCTATACATGGAAATAGCATACATTAAACATTTTTGATTTCTAAAATATAGATTTTAAAAAAAAATATATTATTTTTAGTATTATTTTTATCAATTCTACGCACTCGAATAGCAACAACACCAGATTACATTTCTGTACATGGAAAAGCAAACAGAATACACATTAAACATTTTTGATTTCAAAAAGAGTAGATTTTTAAAAATCGTTTTTATTTTTATTTTATTTTTTTTATTAATATTATTTTTATTATTATTATTTTTAAAAAGAGGAAACAGAATAGCATTTTTTTATTTCGGAAATTGATTTGTTTTTTATATTATTTTATTATTATTATTTTCGCCTTTTACTTTCATGGTTTAATATTAAGTATACGTAGTGCGAGCAGTTTATGTGAAGTTTGTAATTTCTTTTAAGAAAATGTCAGCCAATAATAGAACGAAACCTTGAAAGTTCAATTGCTTTCAAATGTTTCCCTTCACATTGAGAAGATTTTCTACTACAAGCTTAACCCAATTAGGGTTTAAATATAAACAAGCTGCAAGTGTATGAAATTGACCAAACCAATTATAAGGTACTTTTTCAAAAATTAGTTTAAATTATATTTGAAACAATTGTTAATTTGGCACTGATTCCTTTCAAGTAAATACGCTTTTTTGCCTTTAAATGAGCTCATCTAGTTTTCATTACCCTTATTTACAAAATTAGTTTTCCGTTGATCAAAAGAAATTGAACCCCCATTTGGGAGTCAAATTTTGTTCGAATTTCCTTGTATCTGGCCAGCCATCTATCAAGTTGGATTCGTTTCTTTTCACTCAAACACTCCTAAAGCATATACATATATAACTAAAGTGTATCTAAGTAAATGCTTGTTGCGTGGTGTGTGTGTGTGTGTATGTGTGTCTGGTTGGTTGACTGACTAACTGACTAAGTGGCTAGCTGGCTGTCTAGCTGGATGGCTGGATGGATGGCAAGTGTAACCGATCGTGTTAGCGTGCGGGAAGGGCGTATATAATATGGACGATATATGGCAATATGCATATGCACGCGTGCCCTTGAAAACCTAACCCAGCTGCAAAAGCGTCGCACTATCAGGCGCTGCATCGTCAGCAACTGCGACTGCGTCGGCAACGGCGTCAGCGTCAGCGTTCGCGTTAGCGACAGCGTCAACGCCAACGCCATAGTCGCCCTGTTGGCTGCCCATTTGGCTTAAACCAACTACATAGATGCATGATTGTGTGTGCGTGTGTGTGCCAAACAAAAGAAAGTGCACAAATTGTTCAAATTCTTAAAAATAAAATTTACCGAAAAAAGAAAAGAAAAGCGAAAACTAAGCAGAAAAAAAAACAGAAAGAAAGAAAGAGGAAAAGAAGAAATCTACGTACACGTACCCCCACAAATGTGTCGCAAAATACGAACAAAAATCGGTGGGGGTTCTTGCGTCGATGGCCCTTCATTGCCACTGCCAAGATTTTTGTACAAATGTGGTTGCGTTTTTAGTTATTTTATTTATTTGTTTTTCTGTGCCAAATTGCGCAAAAAATAGACACCAAACTAAAAACAATGGGACGCAGTAGAAAACACGACGAGTCTGTGGCACGCTCTACATTTGAATCCGAATGGGATCGGCCAGAACGGTGCTATTTAGACGCTATGCCATGCCAGATGATGATGATTAGTTGTTGAACAAGCATTGCTATTGCTAAGTACCTTTTAAAATTGTTAGAGTGCGAACAGTTTAACGGCAACAAACTGAATGAATATATTCCAAAGAAAATCTTAGATGGATGAACAGGGTTTTCAGGCATGTTTATGGTTTTTCTATGGAAAGAATCTCGCCTTCTCGTGCTGCATTTATTTCCAACTCGTACATTCCATATGATATTCATATACGATATTCATGTTTATATGCACCATTGCTTATAAAATTTTTACTTTTCGAGCATGCAGCTCGATGATTTCAAGTCTCCTTACTCTCTCGGCACAGCCTGAATTAATCAACTGTGTGGCCTCTTGAATAAATAATGTTGGCATTGATGATTTCAGATGATCTCTAGATCTTGGACATAAGCTATTCCCAAGGACGATTTTTAGTTGTTTTGCTAAATTTGGAAATATATGTGTATATTTTTCCAAGTATTAGATTACTTGTAAATTATTACGCTAGTATTTACATATTTCTTTATATCGAACTTATAATTTGTTTACGAATATTTTTAATTTTATTTCTGAAACTGTTTGGTTATTTCTGTCTATAATGCTACTTCTTAATTTCTATCTTCAATTTCTGCACTCCAAATAGCGTCGCATCATCTCTATACCTTACTGGAGTCTCTTTGGATTATTTATTTTATTTTTATTAATTTATTTTAAGCATTTATTTGAACTCGAATGAAACCTGCAGGACATTTGTAAAAATGAATCAATAAAATAGGGGCACCTTTCCAAACTAAACTAACTTATTGACGGCTTAAGTTACATTTTTTAAGTTTCTTCAAATTTCGAATGAAACCTAAAGACGTTATCATACTTGCGCTTGCAGGGCATTTTCAAATAAAGAAATAAACAAAATAGGAATAATGAAACGATTTGAAAGTGCAAAAAAATGCAATAGACAGAGGAAAGACTTTCTACAAATGTGTAAATGCTGCCAAGCAGCAAGCCAATTGCGAAATGTTCAAGGTCGTCCGAATGCACTCAAACATTCAAACACACAAACACTCACAAGCTCACTCGCACACTCATTCATTTACCTGCCAAGTAAAAGAGTGGTCGAAGGAGGAGGGGGATGAAGCAAGGAGGGAAGGAAGGAAGATGGCTGGGCATGGGGGGAGGCCTGCTGCTGCACACGCAACTTTTGGCTCCGATCTCAAAGAATGTTTTACGAGTGTGTGTGTTTGAAAAAAAAAACAACAAATAACATTCCCCTTCTCTTTATTATTATTATTTTGTTATTATTATTTTAA